TACTCATAACATCTACAAAGGTCTCTACCTAAAAATCAAGATAAAACTCAATCAAAGAAAGGGATTCATCACCTAAACACAATCTAAACCCTAATCAGGATACCCTAAATCAACCCTGATTAAACTAATCAAAATTAATTCTAAAAAATCTAGAAAAAATCCTATGGGGAACTATGACTCATCATCTAATTGCACAAAAAAGAATGGATTAAAAACCCTAAAGGAAGGTTCTAAAATAATTCCTACAAAATCAAATACCAAATTAAAACTATTTAAAAGCTATTTATTTGGAAAATCTACTAAAAATATTAAACCTAAAAATAAAATCTCATTTTTATTTTTATAATTTTCTATACATTTTAATCTACTCATAGGAAAAAAAGAATTTAAAAATCATTTTTCTAACTATTTTTAATGAATTATTCAAAACAAAGAAATATTAAAAAGAAATAAAAGAAATTAAATGAATTAAAAGGGAGGGGGGGGTCTGAAAAGCAATACGCGCCAGTTAAAGGAAATGGGCCAGCAATAAGGGGGGTGGGAATAGAAAGCTGAGGCCCAGCGCTGGTTTAATGAAACGCAGCGTTTGGGATTAGTATGAATTTCCCTCTCTTTTTCAGATTCGCTCACAGCCACACGATCTAATGAATTAGTCAATCTTTGAAACTGATCCAACGGCTTCCCTTTCGTCTTCTCCAAACACAAATTAGGGTTTTCAGACCTTCCCTCCATGCACTCACATTCGAGCTCTTCTAGCTCTCTCCACACGCCACGGCTTGATTCGATTCCAAAACAAGAAATGACCTACTAAATGCCTAGATTACAATGGTACGAGCAGTTTTCACTAATTCGACCTAGGTTGTTCTAACAGAAAGCATTAACATCATGGCACAACCATATTCAACTGCTATCAAACTTCATCAAACTCAAAACTAAAGGTCTACAGATGCTCTACCCGTTACCCTTGCTATTCTAAACCAATTCATGCTAACTGGAACTCAATAAACAGCCAGCTATGGAAGATCCAAGAATCATGGTTCTGTTATGCAACCTCATGGATCGTGCCCTAGCTTTCAGTATCTATCCATCTACCCTAATACATCAATTATACACCTAAAGAACCAACTAAAACTCAATAATTAAGATGGTAGAAAGTGAAGAAAGAACCTGTCAAGAAGATGATGGTGAGGCTCGTGGAGGTGGTTGCAGGGCTTGAAATGGCTTCAATGAGATCCTACAATGGTGAAGAACCTTCTGTTTGCACTTGTTGTGAAGGTGGTGGCTTGAAGTGAAAGAAAACTCAAGTTGCTTCAACTTGAAGAAACTTCTCCAATGGCTATGTATCCTTCTCTCTCCTCTGACTTGGCTCAAATTTCACCAACCTTAGACTCTCCACAATGCACTCTTTATATATTGATTGATTGGATGCTTCTGGATTCATCTAGAAGGGTGTGGAAGTTTCTTGAAAATTCCATGATATTCCATAATGGTTATCTCATCTCATATGCCATGCCTTGTTATTTTGTCTCAAAATGTCCTTATGTGAGTTATTGAATGAGGATGAGTGAAAAACAAGTGCATTTTTGGCTTGTGTAGGGTTTTGCAAAGTTGCCCTCTTTTTCAAGTAAGAAATTTCCAAAGGAAGTCCATTTTTGGAGCCTCAAATGAAAATTCTACTTAAACCAAAGTTCTTAAAATGGTTTTTCCAATCAAAATGATATATTGGATGACCTATTTTGGATTTGTGGATCTCCCAAATCACTTTTCAATTTCAACTTTTCAAAGTTATAAGCCTTTTTTAGTTCATTTTTGACCAATCATGGAATTTCATGCTATGAGCTTTTTCAACAATTTGTGACCTTCTTTCTAGACTTAAAATCACATTTTGAGCAACTTTCATGTTTTAAGTTTTTCCATTTGAGGCTTGGAAATAGGAGTTTTAGGCATTGGCTAAAATGACCTATAACTGACAAATGACCAAAATACCCCTGCCTTGTTCAAACCATAACTTGAGTTCCACAAATCCAATCAAGGACTTCTACCCCTCAAATTAAAGCTAAGAAGATCCTCTTCAACATTCATGTTGACCAAGAAACCATAGGAATCATCCTACTAGGGCAAAAGTTGTCTGCAAGTTGGGTGACTTTCAAGGACCCAGATTCACACACCTCTGCTGACCTGAAATTTGTCAAAACCATAACTTGAGCTCTGTAACTCCTATCAAGGACTTCCACCACTCAAATTAAAGCTAAGAACAAGCTCTACAACATTCATGTTGTGGGGAAGATGAGATCTCAATCACATCTAGAGCTAAAACTGCCTGGAAAATAGGGATCAAATTAGGGTTTTCCACTGACAATCCTTGGAAACCCTAGCTCAAAACTTCTCAAACTCCTCAATCATGATGAGTTGGTCTAGGAATCATATTTCTACATCTCTATGCATCATTCCATGATCTCATAGCCCTTGGATTAGGTCTCAACCCTCTCCCAATCTTCAGTTATCCTAGGGTTGACCCAGTCAAAACCCTAATTCTACCATTCATGGTTGAATCTTCAGAACTCTTACACAATGACTTCTCTGGGCTTCATGAAGGCTATCAAGGCATCTCATAAGCTTTCTCAAAATATCAAATTCATTCTCAAAGTCTCAGAATCATCTGAGGGGCACCCACAACTCTCAAGCTATGAAACACACAACCCTGGTTTCAACCAATTCCTCTGAGGATCTCTTGAACTTTTTGATGAATATATCAACTTCCAAACACTCAATGAGTAAATAATTGTTGGTCAAATTTTGGGGTGCAACATCGTCCTCCGCAGAAGTTCTATAACCATAGGCGGAAGATATTAGCTTTGGATCAGCCAGTATTGGCTTGATTCCAGGACGTCCTTGTCGCCTCTGGTTTAAAGGACCTTTGTGAGATCGGTTACGGTCTGATCCACAACGGAATGTTGATGGGCTTTGCGGAGAGATGGCATCCTGAGACGTCTTCATTCCATATACCGCACGGCGAGACCACGATTACATTGGACGACATCTCTTGTCTATTACATATACCGATCAGGGGTACCCTCCTCCGTCACGGTAGGATGACGAAAGAGGATGCGAGAGAGATGTTGGTGGAGAAGCTTGAGGCTGATCCACTAGATGTGCTTGAGGAGGTGGATAAGACCAGAGGGGCTCATGTGAGGTTCTCCTTTATGACGCGTCGTTTTGGTGAGGCGTTCACTGCTGCACGCCAGGCAGATGGTGAACCAGTTGTGGTTGAGTTACACAAGCAGCGTGTGCTGAGGTGTTATTTTTTGTTTTTAGTCGGCACTCGGCTGTTTGTGGACACGAGTTTCACATATATCGATGTCGCTTACCTCAGGTACTTTTTGGATTTCACACGGATCCATGAGTACAACTGGGGGCGGTTACACTGGCGTACACGTATTTGAGGTTGGGAGAGGGATATTTGTGGAAGACCAGGATTGTGGCAGGCAGCGTGTTACTACTTATGGTAACAATCTTATATCCTTCGACTTTTTTTCATTTCTTTTCATTCTATATTCGTGATAATGCTTGATCTTGATGTTTTTTATTTTCATTTCAGGCTTGGATATTTCATCACTTTCCCATGATCACCGGGTGGGAGAGCGTGCCTGATTACACAGAGTTGATGTCGTGTATCCGTGCCTTTCTCCTGCTCAGGGGGAACCAAGCGGTCGATCCTTACAAAGTTTATCTTGATCGTCTGGTTGCTGAGGACATCTGCTACGATGTTTATGCTGATCACCGTGTGACATGCCTGTTTGATGACATCTCGCTATTCTCAAGATGGTTGACATGCAGTTCGACCATCACTATTCTATATTTGCCCGAGCGCGTCATGCGAAAGTTCGGGTACACACAGACGATACCCAAACACCCAGTTGTTTTCGCTCCTCTCGGCTTGACCCGTATGCAGATAGACGAGATCTATGCTGACTATCATCAGAGACACATGGTACCGGACAAGGCTTGGACGACCAGAGCGCCAAGAGACTGGAGCTGCGTTGATGGATCATCAGCTCTTCAGGAGATTTTAGAGGAGCAGCAGTCTCAATTGGTCCTTCCTCGCTATCGTCAGATAGGGGAGATGAGGCAGACAAACATTAACGTTGATTTCTTCCCTGAGAGGTCTGACCACATACATATATTGGATGAAATGATTACGGTGGCAGGACCCTTATGTACCACAAACATCGCGCCAGGACAAGTGGGATTGATGGCCGAGGACGCAGACCGAGCGGTCGCGAAGGTGGTAAAGACAGACGAGACAGCAAAGGCATAAACAGAGAAGAGGATGGAGATGTTGTCAGACACACACAGTAGTGACTGTGGTGTTTTTTTTATGTACTATATTTTGATGACATTTTGATGACATTGATGTTTTATTTTTTTGATGTTTATGAGATGACTTTATATATATATATATATATATATATATATATATATATATATATATATATATATATATATATATATATATATATATATATATATATATATATATATATATATATATATATATATATATATATATATATATATATATATATATATATATATCATATTATTTTATTTATGAATGTATACTATTTTATATTCATCTGCAACAATTAATTTGCACTAGCTAGCTAAAAGTATCATCGAGTGGATTAAGAAATTTCCTATAATAAAATGAGTGAATAAGAATTGAAAATTTCAAACGTCTACATTTCTATCATATACCATCAATTCTAACTTACCCTTGAGTTTCAGCACTTTATCGTTGCTTTTTTTTCTTCTTTGCAAGAGAAATGCATCCAAGAAGTCTAACATATGCCACAGTATTTTAGAGTCATCAATAATATTCATCACAATTCTTATATCGCCGAATTTTAGAAGTGAAAAAAAAAAGTATTTAATAACAATAATAATTTATAGGTCTGTTTGGAAATGCTAAAATTTGCCCGAAGTCTTTAATCAACGCATTACTTGGTGACTCTGTAAGACTGCAAATCAAAGACAAATTCAGTTTAGTATAAAAAAGAATATTCGACATCAAAACGATTTTATGATGTATTTTACAAATTCCAAATGCGACTGACCTTGACCCTTTTCAATAGATCTTTAGCATTGCTGTCCTTTCTGAAGTGTTCCCTCACAGGCTGCATATTGCAAGAAACAATCATTTAGTAAACAAAGCAAAGGCACAAAGCAACTTCCCACCAGAGCCCCACTAAAAAAGACATCAATGCAGTGTTTGTCTATGGCAGATGGCAGTCCATGGCGGAGAGCCGATATCCCACCAGGCTGGCGAAAAACCCGCAATATCGGCGAGCCTAAAAACCACCATGTATATCGGGCATAGCAGACATGGCACCGCAATTTGATAACACTGCATTAATGTTAAAATAAAATGCAGGAAGATGAAGTGATAGTACACACCATAAGCAGATATAAAGTACCGCTTTATTTGAAGGTAATGATGGATTAAAAATTTTAATATATTTCTGACATCAGTTAGAATGAGTTTTTCATTGATGAAAACTTAACTCTTAGTCCTGTCCCAGGGTGGGTGCACAATTGGTAACAGGTAATAAATAAAATTCTTGAATGTCGGAGAGATCTAGCTCCCACCCATATATGATATACCCACTATTTTTCTGAATTACTTTCCTCGCCTAACAAGCCAACCTTCCCTTCTTCACTAAATAATTGTAACATCAGTTACTGGCTGTAACAGTAGTTAGTTGGTTAAGTGTATATAAGTTATAACAGCTACTTGCAACATCCATATAAAAGGGCATTACTACTAACTCATTGATAGTTTCCACTAATTAGGGTCTCGGTCTATCATATATTAACCATCACATTAAATTTTCAAACCCAACATGTTACAAGTAAACAAAAATAAGAATATAGAATCTAATATATATGTAGTACATGTATACCAAAACCAAAACCATTCTATAACATCGTTTCAATGCTGAGGAAGAATACTGTCAACCTAGTACATATAGTGGTGATTACTATTAAGACTAAAGAAGGAGAAGTACGCAAATATGCATAAACATAACCAGAAAACATTACCTCTAAAATTTTATTCAATGACTTTGACAGAGCTGGTTTAAGGTCAGCTGGGTGTAGCTCTCCACTTTCATAGTCAACAATCAACTCTTCAAAGATTTTGAACGTCCTACATTGAATGAAAGTATGAACATATATCATCCAAACCATTGAATAGAAGAACCAAAAAGTTAGAAACACACTTAAAGCAACCAGAATGGTTCAAGAAACTATTACTCTGAATGGAACATGGAGTTCAAAATGGGGAAATAGAAAAACTTACTTATTCCCCCCATTATCTGCATTACGCTCCACCGTAAACTCGTTAAACCAAGGTAAAATAAGATATTTAATGTACTCCAAGCATGGGTTTCCTTCCACAACCTTTGGTGGGCAATATGCCTTTTTTATTTTCACATTCACTTCACCCTATGATATCCAAATACAAAGATTGAACGGTCAACACATTATTCAAAACAGCTACTCAAAAATAAAATTGAAACAAAATCACAAAAATAATGAAAATTTTTACCATAAAGGAACAAGTAGACACAATCATACATAAAATCACTACCTTTTATTTCTTCATTCAAAATACTTCTGTAAAATTCACTTTTTATGTTTTTGAAATTTTAGCAAAAAAAATATTTTCTTAGCTGTCATCAAGTTCAAAACATAACCAGGTAGGACAACTAAACTATTCCTTTTTGATAATGACAAATTTAATTTTCCTTTTAGCAGCTTACCTCCTCATCTTCCATGAATATGGATGATAATGGGTCACTTTTTGACATCTTCTCTTGCCCTTGCTGTAGACCAGGTATCATGTCTGAAAATCATCCAAGAATCAATTAGTAAGTGACACACAGCTTCAATATACAGTAACTGAAAGGAAACCTAAAGATTACGGTGTGATAAGATGATGGGTTTGTTCTTCCTCTTAATAACATCACAATACTCTCTGGCAAGTACATTCACTTTTCTCTGATCCATTCCCAATTGGCAGATGTCGGCCTATTTTAAGATAAAAATATTCTAGCATTATTTACCAATATGTTCAAGCAAATTTACAACAACAGATGAAGCCAGAACATAATATTCAGCACAACATCTCAATATACTTAAACATGAGAAATATAAACCATTAGCTAGTTTACAGTTTTACACATAGAAACTATAGGACAGAAACATCCAAGAACAAAACAATTGAAAATAAAGAGAAGAAATGGCTCGGTGGTCAGTACATGCAGTTAACACATCCAAGGCTGTGAATGAACATCTATCATAATTTACAAGTTCAATTTCACAGCTAACACTGCAACAACCATGAATCCATTCATTTGTTTGATAGTTATGGACAGAAACAACATCCATCATGAGCCTAAAAGTGCATCATTGTATAAGATTAAGTTCAAGTAATCAATGCAATCATCAAAATATAGGGAAAGGGTGAACTTAACCTTGAGGAAAAAAATGTCAGCACACTGCATACATGGGTAGAATATCTGGGCAGCGGTCAATTCATCTTGCTCACTCCGCCCCATAATTTGACTACACCTAAAATTTGGAAAAGCCAAACATGAAACAACATCCCAAATTATCCAGTGTATCATATGAAAGCATTTTCATAGTAAAAAACCTGATAATCCTTTTAAGATTGTTCTTCTGAGCTATATCCAACACAAGAGGCCAATACTCATCAGCTCTGGCATTAATCTCTTTTGACGACCACAAAAACTCAACTTTTCCCCCTTCCAGATTCATCCCAACTGCTTTCCAAATTTCGATCAGGTAGCGACCAACAACTTCAATTTTCTTCAAATCTCCACCCATTTTGTTATTAAGCTTAGCAAACCAATCTGCAACCCATATTTTGACTCGACAACCAGCGGATGTTAGCTTGTTCACATTGATTGCTTTCATGACACCCTAGATATACACACAGACACACAAAATGCAACTATGAATAATCAAGTATCAAATTAAATAAATAAAGTTCGAGGGTTTTCCGCCATTTCTTTCAGATCCATGATCTAATAAATAAATAAATAAAATTGATAATAAAATAAAAATGAGGTGAGACCTGAGCAATGTGCATTCTTCCCGAAGGTTCGAACCCATCATAACAAATAGGTTCAGGTTTTTTGGCAAGGAGGTTAAGGAGTTCTTCATTTTGAATGCACTCTTCTCCGATGCTTCTAACGATCTCAAATCTCTGCTCAGCAGTCAACAACCTGCGTAAATTCAAAATTGAAGATTGATAAGAAGAACAAGAGGGAAAGGGTGTGTAGAAAGTAGTAACAGAAACTTACTGTGGAGTTGTTGGAATTGGGTTGGATGATGATTCCGCCACGGACATTGATTCCAGTGCTTCGGCGGCTGCGGCTTCTTCTGACATTTCCAATTTGTGATTGAAACAGTGCTTCTGTTGTAGGGTTTTGACTTTACCGATTGTCCAAATTAAACAATTCGTTTTTGAAATAGGTTTTTATTTTTCCATTATTTGTACTAATAATATTAAACAATTCTGAATTTAAAAATAAAATTTTAATCCATGATGCTCAAACTTAGATACCTTTATATTAAATGGAAATTACTTTACCATTAAGTCAATCAATCTATGTTATTAATATTTGTAAGGACAAATATTTTAAATATTTAATTTAATCATTCAGAATAAATATTTACTTATTTATTTATTTTAATTAATATACAAATTCAAAAATAAAAATAATAAATTCTAAATTCTAAATATGATCAATCAAATAAAATAAATTGATTAAAATTTAATTAAATTATTGTTAAATTAATTTTTTATTTTTTATTTAAATTCATTAAATACTTTTAAAAACTTACATCTTATTAATTTTAAAAATTACTTAAATTACAATATTAATTTAATATTTCAAATTAATCAACTATAATTATTTAAATATTTAATTAATTAAAATTAAATAGTAAGCAACTAATTTAATAGTTATTCAATTAAATATTAATTTATTTATTTATATTTGATTTATAAAATGTAATTTATAAAATATTTAATTAAATATTTATTTGTGTACTATCTAAACATTTATTTATGTATTATTTGAAATAAATAAATATTTATTTATGTGTTATTTAAAATAAGTAAATAAATAAATGTGTATTTTGTATTATTAAGTTAAGTATTTATCATTAAAAATAATCACAACAAAAAAATTGATTGGTTGTGATTAAGTAACTTTCATTCAATCTTCTCGAATTTGGGTTTAAGATCCGATGGGTATAAATTTTTATTTTTTTAATTCAAAATTGTTTAATATTACTACAAATTATATATCACCAACATCCATTGGCTTAGTGGAAATTATCCATGGGTTTTATTCCTTCGTGGACATGTTATCAATTTAGTATTTGAAAAATACAAAATAAAATCCAACTTGATTGTCCATGTAATTTAAAAAAATAAATAGAAATTAGGCAAGAATATACTTTGGATCCTTTAAGTTATTTTATTATAATAAGTCAGTCATTTATGTTTTTCTTGCTACAATTTGATCCTTTATGTTAACTAACGTGTTCACCGTTGACATTTTTTACAAACTGCATTCTAAAAAACGCTTATGTGGCACAAACGGCGCTGGTGTGTCATTTAACAGCGTTGGTGTGTCATTTAACCTTGCTGAATAGGCATTTGTCATTTTTTTATTTTTTAAAATTGGTTAATATGAACCATGGAGAAAGAGACATATGGCATGGCTTAAGATACTTTTTGAATTTTCTCTTCCTATTTCCTCCCACGACTTTCAGATATTTTGGGAAAACAATTTTCTGTTCTTTCCACTTCATCTTTTCTTTCTCTTTTTGCTCTTTCATTGCGCCTCATTATTCACTCTTCATCACCACTAAAACAGCAAACATATATTCCTCGCTACATCAACAACACCAATTTCCAGACATATAACATAAACCATAAATCCATATTCAAACTTCTTCCTCTTCACTCACCACGCGGTCAACCTATCTTCATTATCATATTCACATCACTCAAACCAACTTCTTCTCACTTGAACCATCATCAACTTCAACCCTATCATCAACACAACAAAGCTTCTTACACAAACATAACTCATAATACCACCACCTCCATCTCATAAACTTCGTAAAAAAAAACAAAACTCACAGTTCATTTTTTCATGATACACAAACCAAACACATCAATATCATCACCTTTTACAACAACATCAATACACAATAACCAAACACAACAACGTGACAGTTGACTCATTTCTCCTACACACCATAAACCTTCAAACTTTCCTTTTCATTATCATAACCTCGCATAACTTCACAAACAGAAATCTCACATCTCCAAACATCATTAAACTTTTCCATGGACGCTCCCACAGCAAGAACCTTCATTAATCAACCTCAAACTCAGCATCACAACATTTAAACCATTCATAAAACATAACAACGACATCACACAAATTTAACAATAAACAAAACAAAACAAAAAGGAAGAAGAAGAACTGAGATCTATCACAAACCACCGTACGAAATCACTCTTCTATCTCACCAGAAAGCAACATAGTCGCTGGAAACTATGGTGAAAAAGAAAGAGTTTAAAGAGGAAAGATATGAGAAACTATCAAAATGTGGCTAGTGGTGATTTTGAAAAAGTCAATTTTCTTTATTTGAATTTAATTGTTTTTTTTTTCTTTTCTACATTTTCATTGCAATTTAAATGCCTATTCAGCAAGGTTAAATGACACATCAGCATCGTTTATGCCACATAAGCGTTTTTTAAATGAAGTTTGTGAAAAAGGTCAACGGTGAATATATTAGTTAACATAAAGGACCAAATTGTAGCAAAAAAAAACATAAAGACTGACTTGTTATAATAAAATAACTTAAAGGACTCAGTGTATATTTTTGCCTAAAAATTATTTAAAAATGTATGTGACATAAATAATATACATGGCAGTCCAGTCATTGTTCAAAAATAGAAAATAAAAATCAGTTTGCGAAAAATATTGACTTTTTTATCAGAGATTATTGTACAAATTAGCCTTTCGCATCTTTGCACGAGAAAATTATTATTATTTAATAATATAAGTCAATGATATAAACAAGTTTATTTTAATAATATTCTGTTATTGAATTAGAATTATTGATGCAAATTTTTTATGCAACGGTGCGAGTTGCTTTTATGTGGTTGCGTATAGTGAACATGTAAGATTAACACTCCAACATCCAAGATATTTTTTTAATAAAAAAGGGATAGAGTGAAAATGGATTTAAATTATACATTTTTCTTGCTTGCGTGGTGGAACTTATATAGTGGGCAGATATTTGGCCTTTTCGTATTGTGCTCGAGGTTGTCTCAAAATAGTTGCACCCAATGTTTGTTATGACGTAATGCATGGGAAGTCTTCCAAGAAGTTAGGTCGGTACGTCTAATTGTGATATAGTGTTAAGAAGTGGAAAAGTTTGATTTAACCGTCAATCTTTTGTTGATGGCGATCTTTCTCACTTTGATTTCCACACCAACCTTTTGTTAATGGCGATCTTTTCCAGTTTGATCTAACCACCAATCTTTCATTGATGGTGACTTTTTATTAACTCTCAAGTTGACGTTGGTCTTGCATCCTATCATGCTTTATCTATTTTCCTAATATATCTGCATTTCATTACTTCTTAAGATAAAATTTGGTTTTTTTTCATATTTAATCATCTTCCACCGTGAATGTATGAAGATCGTTGTTATTCATACTTTCAGGTTCAATGTAATTAAATAGAGGCATCTGTCATACCCCAAATTTATCTATGCATTTTAATTTTTCAGACAACCAACTTTATTTTGTTTTGTATAGAATAAAATTTTGACTGTAGAGACAGACCGGTTGAATCGATTTCTTAATCGCACGTAAAATTAATGAACATTGTTTTCATGTTTGAGCATGCAGCTTTCTATTTTATTGATCTACATTACGTGTAGTCTAACTTGGTGTGCTCATTTTATTTTTCGCATTTTCGCGCATGCGCATTTTGATTAGTTTGAATCTTTTTATCCGGGTATTTTTAATTGCAAAATTTGACCTGCGACTATCTGTTTTATTGAACTTTATTTTGTATAAATTATTTTAGTGCATTCATTTTATTTTTCACATTTACGCGTTCGATTTTTATTCGTTTTAATTCATTTTATTATTTTTTTAATCAAAATAATTGAAAAACTAAATAAATAGAGACAAATAAAATAATTAATTAAATTTATTTGTTTTTATCAAAAAAAATTTTAAATTTATTTCATTAATTTTTGAACTCATTTAAATCACTCAAAGTATCTAAAGGGTATTATTCGAACCCACTCGTTTTGGACTGGGCCGGGACCTGTCCATCAGTCGGGCAGGCCCAACCCAACACTACGTTGGGAAGGCCCAATAAGGCTCAATCCTCCCATGCCGGGCACGAGCCACATGTGTCGAGCAGACGACTCCTTTGACAGGCAGACTCACATGTTTTCCCCACGTTTTCCACGTGCTCCCCCACGCGAGTGTTGTACCCAAATTTTGACCCCTAGATTCCATTACCATTATAGGAGCATCAACATTGTTTATCTAACCTTAACCTATTTCAAGTTTGTATTTGTCAAGATGCAGATGAATTAGGGTTCCAAACAATCAAGAATCGGGGTTTCTATGGTTTAATCAGTTAAGGTTTTGGATTGATTCTCCATGTAGAAACTCTCTACATCATCAAGAATACTATATTGGATCAAGTATGAATCCAATTTGAGGTTGTCACCCAAAGAAGAAGAGAAATGTAGTCCAGGATCCCCGATTAGGGTTTCTAATCAAGAAAAGTCAACTGTGGTTTGACTTTTGGCTTAAATGGTATTCCAATGATGGAATCATGGTCCATAAATCTTATATAACTTATTGAAGTCCCCTCAAGAAGTTTCAAGACCTCAGGAATCCCAGAACACTAACAGTTGATTCGGAGGTTTTCGATCGATCGATTCGTCTGACTGAAAAGTCAACCCATTGACCAACAGGGTTTTGACCCAAAATTGAATACAATTATGTTCCTAATGTTATATCATATCTAATCATGAAGTTTGGTGAGCATTGGATCAAGAATTGAGAAGTAATCAAAAAGTCAGGAAATTAGGGTTTTGAAAGGGGCAAGATCATAATTTCCTAACCACATGTCCAAATGGAGTGGTTCAAAGCTTGTTGGAAAGGTCTTGAGAAGTCCTACAAAATTTAAATGGTGACCTATGTGTAAAAAATGAATATATTTTGAGTTATGATCAAAAACAAGTCAAGAGGGAAAAATACTTGGTGAAATTTCATGATTTTGACACTTTTAAGTCATGTTTTCAGCCAACTTCAGGAGGAGTTTTGA